CGATATGGTTCATGGGGTCATGAAGAGTCGGACACGACTTAACGACTAAACAACAACAACAGAAGTCCCTAGTACACATAGTGCAAGCTTCAATTTCCTCAAGAAGCAATAGGAAGCGTCTAGAAGAAAAATATTAAAAGTGGCCCAGATTCATGAGCAACCCTCCGATACACCCAATCCTGGACTTGCAGAAGATAGATGTACTGATGAGATGGAACAGATAGAGGACTCCGGCAGGAAAAGTCCTCTAATACAGATGGTTTAACAGCATGTGGACCAGTACAAGACAAAGCCCCTTAAAGATTATATCATGGAATTTAGCTGGTTGGCATCACAATGATGGCTTCAACCAACTTGAGTTCTTGTCAGACATGGATGTTCTACTGCTGCAGGAAACTTGGACAGCTGATGATCTCCTATTTAATGGGCTCCAATCATTTAAATTGGAAGCAACTGAAGGTAAAGGCCCAGGGCGACTAAACGTTGGTCTGGGAATTCTCATCTCTACCGCCCTGAGAGTTGCCCCTATACCTATCTCCCCTCTAAAACAAATGGCCATGGCAATACTTTTGAACATGGGTAGTATGCGTTTGTTAGTTATTGACGTTTATCTTTCTCCAAAGCGGAAAAAAAATGAAACTGCCACAAGTTAGCTGGAACTAGAGGATTACGTTGGCAATCTTCTTTTGGAATTCCCTAATGCCATGGTTCTCCTTGGGGGTGACTTTAATGCTAGGCTAGGCACTGATAACCGTGCACTATATTCCAAATTCCACCAGCATCCCCCTTCCGCTGTGCCTAATCTACCCACTTCCATGTTGGTGCGTCTCTCTAGAGATTAAAAAATCTAACTATGCCGGACTACAACTCACAAAGCTGGCAAATAAATATAATTTACTCATCCTAAATGGCTCCATTACAAGTGATTATCCAGGTGAACTTACTTTTATCGCCGGGAATAGAAAAAGCACTATTGACTATATGTTAGTCAATTCAAATCTAACACACCTGGTGAAGAATTTCGAGGTACTACCACACCCAGAAAATGACCATCTTCCACTCTGTTTGCAGCTGGAGACTCCAGCTATGCAGGAGCATT